CTTACAATATCTCACCTCTTCAAGCATCTGTTCCATGAATTTGTAAACAGCTTTCTCGCCGAGATATATCTGACTAGCTTTCGTATACTTATCATCATAAGTACAAACAACCTTATAGCTTTAATCACAGTCAGTATGTTTTTGATAAGCTTCAGTGAAAGATTCATCATCAGCTGGTTGACAACCTTGTATTTTCTCTGTTATCGCTTCAAAGTCAGCATAGATTACAAATGGAACTGGTAGTTGCTTATGGTAATCATTGAATTTCAATTTATATTGTTATCTTTAGTTGGCGTCTTAATAGCCTGAGCTCCATTTATTATGAAACAATTGGCTTTATGATCAGTTAATACCATTTCAGAACTAAAACACTGCAAACAACACATGCAAAAAGGCTTTTCATCTTGGCGTTTCGTTTGGTTATACATAAATCTGTTGAAATCTTTTATCAATACATAATGTGAGTTTTTCTCTTCTGTTATTAATAAAAGATTCAAATGATTTTCATTTCTCTCCTTACTAATATATATTGGATATGGTTGTTTATTTTCATAACCAAATACGTTACCATTGATTTCATTCTGTTTTTTAATCTTGTTGATTTGTTTTATAGTCACTGGAAATTCAATTCCTGTGTAATCTAATTGTTCAGAGAAAGCTTTATCATCTTTTTTAATCCTCTGAGGATTCTTCTCTTGTGGATTTAAGTGTCTGATATGACACCAACGAAAGCATTCATTATCTTTATTTTTCAAATTGATCAATCCTTTTAAACCATTTCTCAGTTCTGGTGGAAGTTCAATATAAGAAGAACCTTTCGTAGAATGATATTTCACAGTATTTATGTAGTGATTATCAACTGATCGAATACGCCAGCCAGATCCCTCTGAAATCCATTGTGCAATTTGATATGATATTTGTTGCTTTGATTGTAAAGAGTCTGCTATTTCTGTTTCACTCATTATGGTCTGAGGTTCACTATGAAAGTATGCTGTTTTCGTTTGAACTTCATCAGCTTTACGCTTCTCAAAGGTGATCTTTAATGTCTCGGTGAATTTGAGACTTTCATGATGGTTAATATATTCAGAAGGAATTCAATGATAGCTAATCTTGTGCTTACCATTTGAATCAATGGTTCTTTATTATTTTTTATTTGTATTTTAGATGATTTCGTGAATTCTTTTAAAGCTTTGTTTGTCTCATCAATTCTCGTTCTTGGTAATGGAACAGGCTTCTTTGTTCTTGGTTTAGGCACTGGTTTATAATCATCTCGAAACTCTAAAGGTGGTTCAATAATATTTTCTTCATAAGATTCAACCATCTGTTTAACATTCTTGAATGATGCGGTGAATTTAATTTTCCTTGATGTTGGTTTAGGTTGATATTTTGGAACAGGTCTCAGATTCATTATTATGTCAATGAGCTGGTCTTTTGTCAGATTCTGTACTTCGTTTTTATTCATATCTATATTATATGTAGATAAATTTTTTTCCATATTTTCTATACGCGGTTTTTCTTTAAGTGTATTTTGATTTTCCATATTTTCTATAATGGAATTTTCTTTAAGTATATTTTGATTTTTATTTTCCATATTTTCTATACGTGAATTTTAAGTGTTTTTAAACATTTTAAAAACCGGTTTAAACCAGTTTGAACCAGTTTTATCCGCCATTTTGAATTTTTGATGAGTCAGCTTTTGAAAAATTAATTATTGTGCTCGCGTGAGAGCTCCGCTTGGCCACGACTTGGCACAAAATGTGGAATGTGCTGGCACCCCCATTTACTATACTGCTGTTTCCTACGATTTCCACATGGAAATGTATATCACGCACCTGTGAATAAGAATAATTTTTCCTGATTTGTTTTTAAACAAAAAAACTTCTGTTCATAAATATATTTACACTAAATTGAGTATCTTCAGAGAAATCAGAACATGCCATTGTACGGGGCATATTCTGAAGAAATACTATGCAGAAATACATGCTATGTGTTTATAATTATGTACTTGTATAATACTCACATGCATTTTTCCAGCGCTGAGTTCACAAAGAAGTCCACTAAACAAAAGATTTCATTATTAACTCGTCAGTCAAAATGCTTAGTGGCAAGTGGCAATTTTAAAATGTAAAAAAGTATATACTCAGACAAAAAAAATAGATCTACATGCCTGAAACACTGGTAGTATAATGACAGACTTAGAGTTTAACAACATCAACAAAGATAATTTTTTTCAACACTATATACATACATGTACTTAAGGTCAACAAAACATGTAGGCTGTGTTCAGAAAGCAACAAAGATGTACATGAAATATGTGTTGTTAACCAAGCATGACACCAAGATGGTTGGATGTTGTCCTATTATCGACTGAGATAAAGTCCTTGGCAAAGTTATATAAAGCGGGGATAATGCCAACCAAAGGATAAATCGCTATCCTGCAAGTAAGTAATAGCAGAACATTCTGTGCTATCCACCAGATAAAGATTTATCCACTGGATGGCATTATCCAACTTTCAAACAGCTGAGGCCAGGTCCATAAAAGTGAACAAATGAAAACAAAATGAAAAGGGAGCAAGGTTTTGCTTTAATAGTCTTAGTAAGAATCAAGAGTGACTTGTTTACTCTCAGGCACTGAGAAAGAAAGCCAATTGTGATGGTGGGTGTAATGATGCTTCTCTCAACAATCTCTTATAAATCTCTTAACAATCAAGGCCCACAATACATTCAAGAATATCTGCAGTCACACTCTATTTCTGGTCATCACCATATGTTCCTGTGACTAGGGCCTTCTTAAGATCCAAAGAACTAATTTTAAGACCTTTAGTGATCGTGCCTTTGCCCATTCCAGGCCACTTCTGTGGAATAAACTAATGTTTGAAATTGGAAACCGTCAGAATGTAACCATTTTTAAGTCTAAGCTTAAGACACAACTGTTGAAGCTGGCTTACAATTTTTTTTTAACATTGTTAATAGTTTTAACATTTCAAGATTTTAATACATTTTCATATTTTATCGTTTTAATATATTTATAGAATATTTTGTAAAGCACTTTAGAATTTTTCTATAATTTTAGCACTTTAGTAATGTAAAATTATTATTATTATTATTATTAATTATTATTTTGACAATTAAAAAATATAGTGATTTGTTAGGTTTTCTTTACATTTCACTAAAAATTTCCACAAAAACAAAAATTTCTTGTTCAAGAACCAAACAAACTTCTTGTCTCATTTTCTGTGAGACAAACCCACTTACATGCTTTCTTATCATTCACTTCTTTCATTCTTGTATTTTCTGGTTTTTGTAGTACAATTAACTCATAACTCATTAACTCATGTTTCCTTTGTTTTGACTTCCTTCTGCCACTTTTTGCAGTTCCTTTGCCAAAATTAACCAAAAAGTTAAAACTATATAAGTCTGCTCCATGCAAAGCGGGAAATCCTGAGGGTGCAAGATGGACCCATCTTGCCAACTCATGTAGCCAATCAGAACACAGGATTTGCTTCATAGCAACCACAGGCATTGCTAGCTGTAAAAAGGTTGTCATTGAAGAAAATTTTTTGTGTTATTACCTTGAAAGATGTCTGAATAATATCCGAGGTACCTCGGCATCAAATTCACTTTTCACATCACAGTATTTGTCTAAAATAGAGGTACACAGGCTGCTATAAGAAAATGTGATTAGTGTAAAGGTAGGATGCTTTTTGATGGAGGATTGTAGAAGCCAAACCAAAGTAATCACAAAGGGCAATCAGAATAAAGGAATATACCCTACAGACTGAGCCAATGGAAACTCAAAGTTAAAACAAAACACCTGCCTAAAGTGTGGGAAAACACAAGTAAACATGGCATACTTAGGTTTAGTTTTGCATCTGATTGGCTGAGAGGTCAAAAAAGGGTAAAGTTTGTTTATGAGTCAAGTGGCCCATAAGGCCAGCCCTTAACCAGGGCTTGACACTTACGGTAGCCGACTAGCCACAGACTTAGGCAGAAATTCAGTTTTGGCTAGTGGTTTTCAATTTCCACTAGCCAGTTTGGCAAGTAAACAAACTGAAATTGTTGTAACATCTAAAAACATCTAAGATGACACTAGCCTCTTGGCTAGTAATTTGAAAAGTTAGTGTCAAGCCCTGCTTAACTCCAGTTTCCATAGCATGAAGTGACTAGGAGTATTTCTACTCCCCTCCTGGATGGAATGCTACTCACTTCCATTGCAGGGTTTAACCCCCCAGCATTAAATTTGCTGGTACCCATTTAAAACCCTGGGGTAAAGAGAGGTACTGTAAGAGTAAAGTGACAGTTAATTTCTTGCCTAAGAGCACAATACAATGTCCACAGCCAGCTTGGTCAAAAACAAACAAAAAAAAGACAGCTACCACAAACAAACAATGTGGGAATTTTGCCTCACCGTCTTTTGTTATTAGCTCCAAAATTGGCATGAGAACATTTGGCAGTATGAGCTGTAAGTTAAAATATTAAAAAATATATATATATATATTATTACCAGCAACATTATAGCTACAAAGAATACTTCAGATGTGGTTAATTCATTGCTGCTTTTCTCCTGAAATTTAAAGGGAATGTTCTGTATCTGTATAGTAATCAAGGCTTTCTTTCACCCTATTAGGGTTAATAATCCCACTTTTGATTTGAATGTAAACTTCTCTTTACAATTTCTACACAACATTCAGTAATATATATACAGTAGGATGGTGAGATGCATGGGTGCGCATTAATCAGTGATGTGAAACAAACAAATATGGACCATATAGGAGATGAATACTGACATGCAAGTGAATATGAGAGGAACAAAACAATAGAATATTACATTGTAAACAATTTTTCTTTAGGTCACTTGTAATTTGCTGTCATTTTTTGCTTTTTTTGTTATTCATTAGGGTCACTTTGTTCATTTTTTTCTTGTTTTCCATCAAGTTTAGATTCAAAATTCAGTCCTGCCAACAATATAAACTCTTGAAACCTGCTACACCTCTTCCTCTTTCACAGTCAAGTTTTCTCAGATTTCCAGGAAATCCCAAGGTCAAGGAACCCTGACAGGAAATTGCCTACAATATCTTTTGGAGTTGTAATGTGCACTTTTGTGCTTTTGCCTGGCAACCTTGCTGCAAACAGCTGTTAAATGACTTCATGCATCCTGAGTTTTTGAGTGCACACTGTAGCACAAAAAACCTTGCAAAGTAACTAGCAAAGTTAAATGGCCCTTGCCAGCTCCCAAACTGATACATAACCCAAGAAAGCAATGAAAACACTACCCCATCTGGAATGACAAGATCAAGATTCACATCACTGTCCTTCAGACCAAATCCAGTGAGGGAAGATCCATAAGGCAACACTTTATATTCTATTAGAAAAGAGTTCAAAATAAAGTATAAAAGTAAATTGAAGATTTAACCCTTTACACCCCAGCATCAGTGTGCATATTCTCAATACTGTTCTCTGTACATTTCCTATGGTTCTGACAAGGAGAATTTTTTTGTCTAGCAATCAAGAGTTTCTTCAGTTGGTGATTATTTCCTTTATTTTCATGACCTTAATGTCTGGTTCAGGGAGTTCATTGTGGGGAGAAATTACATGCTGGTCACTTAGAGTTTAAGGGGTTAATAAATACAGGGCTTAACACTAACAGTAGCCCACTAGCCACAGACTAGAAGAAATTCAGTTTTGTCTTGTGGATTTCGATTTCCACAAGCCAGTTTGGCTAGTAAACAAAGTGACATTGTTGTAACATCTAAGATGTCACTAGGCACTTGGCTAGTTAGTTGAAAAGTTAGTGTTGAGCCCTGGTTAATAAATTCACTGTATGTGTGAGGGATCAACACCTACAGCTGCAGACTCATAGTCAAAACTACTGTTACTTACTATGCAAATATAATGAGATAATGGAAGACAGAAAATAATGCACAGTCATTAACCAGCTGTTAAACAACACACAGTCATTAACATGGTACCAGATACTTGTTCAAGCAAAACTTTGAAAGGTAGTGAATGAAGTAAAAACAAAGAAACGAACAGTATATAACAAAGTTTAGATCAACATGAACATTACCTGGAAACTCAGTGCACACAGTCTCATGGACATCTTTTGCTACCTCACCCCTTAAGGGTAGATCTTTTTCAAGGGACAATCCATGATGCAGGAAAACAGAGTCAAGAAGCTTGCTCAGAGCCAAAGTTTGATGTTTGGAAGGTAGGGGACTAGTCCATGTGAGCGACAGAAGCTCTCCTTTGGTCTACAAACAAAAAACAAACAGGTTGAAAATTTCAGTGCTCAAGAAAGATGTCCAATGTTTGTTACAAATTTAGGTCAGGATAAATCTGACTTTCCAGTGAAGAATTAAAATTCCATCAACTGAGAGGCTTAGGCACTCTTACTGGTACTGGACTGTACAGTGTTGTTTGATAGCTTAAGGCTACAGAGTTCCCACACATTAGGCACCAGTTTCTCTTGGACTGGAGTCACACATCACTAACTAGTCAAGTGTTTTGACTAATCCAAACAAGCCCGATCCTTCGTGTTTCAAAGCTTTTTAATGCAATTTGCCTCACTTTTGTAAGACTTCTTGCTTGTCTTTTTGGTTGTATCAGGCCATTGTCACAAGTCCTAATTTTACAGGGGATTCAACAGATGACATTCTAACCCAGAGTCACAGTTAAACACCAAAGTTACAACAGCTCAATTTAGCCATCAAGAGTGTCATGGTCTTATGGGAAGTTCTTTATCACCAGCTACATTGTAACT